TTTTTTTTTTTTTTTTTTTTTTTACTTTTTTTTGTCGGGGGAGCCCCCCCCCCCCCCCCTGCCCCGACCCCGCACCCCCGCCCCCACTGCCAGCCAACCCCGACCCCGCACCCCGCTGGGCCCCGCACCCGGCCCCACGCTTGCACTACCCCGGGCTCACCAGGGGGGGGTGTAGCCCCGGGGTGGGCCCAAGGTCTGGCCAAAACTGCAATATTGCAGTTTGGCCCCGGGGGTGCAGGCTGCGGCTGCGCACCCCTCTGTATTTTTTTAATTTTATTTTTAATTTTATTTTTTAACTTTTTTTTTACCGGGGCCAGGGGTGCCGACCCCCGGCCCCCAGGACCCCCGCCGGGGCCCCGGGGCCGGGGCTCGACAACCCTGGTTTTGGGCGCTTGTTCGCGTTCGCCTCCGAACGCAAACATTATGCTACGTAGTTATAGTGAAATGATGTATATTTCGATTGGTAATTTTACCCGAACTCCAAATTATTTAAAAATTATCAATTTTTGTTATGCATTTCTGTGATAAAAGTTCATCTGATCTATTGTTGGAAATTATTTAGCTCGGGTCATTATGAAATTCCATGTGAAATCGTTTTGTATCGATGTTGTGATTTTTTTTTTTTTCATATGTTATCATGGCATGCTAAATTTATGATGGATTTGTGAGCTCCGTAGGTGGTAGTGAGGCTTGCGCCGGAGTTATGATCCTGGTCCATAGAAGGATGCTGTCTTTCGAATCTTGTGTGGTCTAAGGAAGAGAGATCACACTATCACTGAAAGGGAGGAAGGTGCTTAGATCTTGTTAGAATGTCGCATATCAGGGTAGGCAACTAATGTTTGTCATGAGGGGAGGAGTGAAACTACCTAACCTTACTTTCATGATTGGGGCTTAGTCAACCACGGTCGTGTGGGGTGGGGCTGTTTTACTCTATATGCAGAGAACTAATGGGGTCGAAAACACTGGAATCAAGGGAATGCAGTGAGGCTCCAATCTAAAGCGAGGCATGATGTCGAGATGTTACCCTTAGATAGATTACACCACTCCTCGAATCATATCACAAAAAGTTCAAAAACAACGAGAATGATGACTTATGTGGAATGGAATGAGAATTATAATTTGGTCGAGGAACTTTGGGCGAATGATTTTTCTCATGAATGGTTAGT